TCAATGCAAAGAAACAATCAAACAAATCAAATAATTCCTTCTTGTTATGTTAGCATAGACACAATTGCTGAAAACCTCGATTGTGCTTGTGATGACGTAGGTTAGTGTACATTTCTGTGCTACTCGTTCTAAAGGCCTGTGACTGATAGAAAAATGGTCACTTCTGTCGTCATATTTATTTACAAAATCAAAATGCAGTTTGACAGAATTAAAACTAAGTTTAGTCCAATCTGTGCAACAGAATTGCCACAATTGACAGCTTACGAAATTGTCACTTCACGACCGTCGTTCTATTCATAACGTTTACTTCTACAGCGACGATAGTCAGCTGATCGAATCAATTAAACGCCGGGTCAAGAACCTCCATTGAAACTGCGAAAGCTTAATATTTTTCCTTTAATTTGGGTTTTGGATTTTTCGTTATACTTCTTCGGACTCTCATTGTAAACATTACTTTAAAAAATATGTTTTTTTTTTAGTGGTCCAATATCACGTTTATAAATATCGTGTCTTGTTTTGTTATCTTTTCTATCATTTAGTTTTCTTCTTTAAATATACATCGGATTTCGATTATATTTTGCCTAGAATATTTGTCATATATTTTGCCTTGAACTTCACTGTATTCAAGTTTAGTATTACAAAATATTTAGACTCCCGTGTGCCTTAAATTACCAAATTTCTCGCTTGCCTTATTTTCCTCATGATTTTGACTAACGGAGGTTTATTTTGAGTCGCTTAAATTTACGGGTCTTTTTTCGGCTTAGTTTAGTTTATTTTGAAATTTCCAATCTAGCATTAGAAAAAGTGTTAGGCTTTAGGTTTGAGCCGTTATCTTTTTTTAGATCTGGTTTTTGCTGCGCAAACTGTTTGGAAATGTATTAAGGAAATTGATAGAAAATAAGATACAAGTTCTTGCTGCATGGATAAAATAAACATATACTCATGGGACTTGCAGCAAGTTTGGCAAACTTTCAGTTCGGCATAATGAAACATAGTATAAATTCGAATGTATTGATAAATTTGGACCTCCTCAGTGGAAAGACCATTGAGCAGATCAAAGGACGGAAGCATAACCACCTGAGTATGCCCTAGGTGATATCCGGAAAATGAAATCCGAGCCTTGTTGCCAGGCCAGATTAAAGTAGACCAATTAAATAACATTAAACATGATTTCTGGTTTGATCTGGGTACGAAGAAAGAAATAACCAATACTAAAATCATCTTATTCCTCTTTTCGGTATATTAATTGATTTGAATTTGTTTTAATTAAATTTCAAAAGTTATAACGACCTAATTACTCGGGAGGTGGAAACAAGTTGAATTAATAATAGCAAAACTGTTATTGAATAACTTAAAATATCGATGATGCGTACATAATTGTGATTAAGTTGCTACCGGCATCAAAGATGGCTCTTTATGATATTGCGTTGTATTACTATGATTTATTACATGTAATGTGTTTTTACCGCTACGTAGTATTAGTTCAAGTCGCTCTCCGCATCTGCTTTTCCCTATATCTGTTAAGTGTTTAATCATTTAATGCATTTCAATATATTTTGGATTTAAAATTTCTAGTGGAAGATTTACCATCCATCCGAAGGCGACCTTAGTATTCAGCACAGCATTATTTATTTTGTAGTTTGGCTTTTTCACCTTTGGTGATTATTTATCACTCATTTTTCTTATAAGGAAAATCATAGCGACAAGGTTTTATATAAAATCGTAATTCCTTTCTTTTCATTCCGATATTATGACAGTTCGCAAAAAATGTCGATTGAGAATAACTGTTAAAAACTTCAATTGCAAGATTTGATGAACGTTCCTACAATATACGTTTTAAAATCTAAATACACCAAGGATTATATGGAAAGAGGTTATTGGAAATAGGCTTTGAATAATTTATCGAGTGTTATCTGCAATGTCATACATCTATACGATCAACACATACCGAATTGAATGCTAAACATGTTAGCAGTAGTAACAATAGTGGCCTTAGTATGGTATTGCTTAATTACCAAAATCAAAAGCCAAATACCTTTTTGATAAACTGTAGATTTGGAATCGTTATTCATAAAGCATAAGTTGTTATTTATTCTATTACTAATATTTCATTTTTTGTTTCCAAATCTCGGCCATTTTTCAAACATGTTTGTTGTGTTGATCCAATGCTTCAGCGGACTAATACGTGGATAGTGGATAGTTTGGTGTGATTGATCGTTTGGTTACAATTTAATCTACATCGCATCATCATGAGCGATGTGACTAAAGTATTTACCCAATTATGGACTAGTCTCGTGGAAAATATATAATTTTGTTGTTACTGAGTCTGAACTTTGTTAGGTTAATGGCAAACCTTATTTCTGATTTTATATTATTATTTCTGATTTTATATACAACATTTTTATTTAATACTAGATGACCAGGTGTACTTCTTATTACTTTTTAAACCTTTTCTGTACTACGACAACCAGTTCAAAACGCTTAGCCGTTAAAATTGATTGAAAAAATATGATTTATTTATTAGAGCTGTGGTTAGGATATTGCTAGGATTTGTTTAGGTATTATTAACTTGATCTAATGGATTCATATTTTCAAATTTCGTAAAGTGGTATAGCTTTTTAATTTTATTATTGAGTGTGTTAAGTGTTTGCGGTCTAAGAATAGGTTAACTTTCCTTATTGCTATCTCCTATTATTGATTCTGGATCTAAGCCAGCCGTAAAGATCCAGTCTAGACTTTCTCTAGCTTCATTTTACTACTGGCTAACCTCTGATCTTTTATTTCTAAATCATCCTATTTTTATTTCACTCCACTTCGGTATCAGCCATATCGTCTTGTGCGGTTTATTATTAGTAAGTAATAGTTTAATCGATACAGCATAATAATACAAACTGTTGCTTTACCGTTCACGAAAAATAAAATAAAAAATAACGGTTATAACTATTTATTCGTTACTAAATGACGCTTTAGAAACCAATAAATAGTGTTTAGAAAGTTTGTATAAGCCTACTTATAAATACCAAAGGATGTATTAAAATTTTTCACCATGAAGTTGTTATGTGCAAATCTCAATAACGTACTCTTTTTGACAGAAAGTGATGTTTGTGATTCAAAATTAAAATTGTGGTATTTAAGGTAGCCAATTTATTTCAACAACAAAAAAATTTACAGACGCCTTATGCGTAGAACAAAAATTGGTAGATAAAGACAAGAATTTGATTAGTCAATTTGTTAGGAGAAATAAAGTTATCAGCAACCAATATGAAATTAAAAATAGAGAAGCAAGAACGAAAAAATATCAGTTGGTAACAGAGATATGTCAATTTTTAATCTCAGGCGATCATTCAAAGATTACTTTAAAAAAAAATCTGGTCAGTATTTGAATAGAATGTGGTGTGCAATTGCGCGAGAAAAAAATGTAGATTGAATTTTTATTCATAAATGATTAGAAATTCATTTCGGAAGATAACCTTTTACGGATTAAAATGACTGGCATATAATTTGTGATTACTAAGTTTAAAAAACATAAACACATGTACTATATATTTATATACAAGATGAATTAGCATATTGTCATCATATTCAATTTATTCGTGTTCACAAAAAATACTTTTTCAATTTTGTTGATTCGTTTTTATTAATCGTTACTTCTTTATGCTATTGAAAACTTGATAACGATGAATGTGATCATTTATCCGTAAAAGAAACGTCGGAAGTACCTATCATATGTTAAATTGTCTGTTGTAATGTGTTACTAAACGATGCGAATGCCGCGCGCTGGCCATTATTGTCCATTGTTAGTAATAATGTCTTGATTAGTTATTTTCACATCGTCCAACGATATACAGCATCGATATTTTGATAGCAGATTAAAATCTTCAACGATGCTATTCTGAGAGAAAGTGTTATTGTTTATTTTTTTGCTTAGTTGCTGTAGTTTGTATACCGAATTCACATATAACCTTATTTGTATTCTTCAAGTGAAATTTTATGATAAATTGCTATTTTGATATGAATATGTATAACAACGTTAGGGTCTGAAGCGCCATTTTCTTTTCGTAGCGCAAATTGCGTAGAATATGCTTGTTGTTTTGAAATACTTTTCCCAAAACAGCCAAGTAACCAATTAACACGGGTTAACAATTAAGTATTTGTCAATAGCGATGATGCCTGGGTAAAAAAAATTAATCCCAACTAGTTCGTTATTCAGATAATAGAAAAAATATTAGATACGTATTTTTTTGCATCAATTTAACAAGAAACTACTTAGATAATAGGCATTAAAGTTGAGGGTGGGGGCTCGCTACGTCACAACTATGTATAAAAAGTACGAAGGTGTGACATCATGGGACATTCAACTCAATGTATCGATCTAATTTATTGATAACGCAAAAAAGTATTTAATATTCTTCTATAGTCTTCTATAGCAAATTAAGTTGACATAACAAGCAAATGAGTGAACATGTGGTAGCTTGTTTTTTCAACTTTCTCAGCATCAAAATCAGCATCGATTGTTGCTAATGTTGATATTCGCAACAAACCTGATTTGAATGACTTCCTTAATTATTAGATATATCATGACAGATAATGATTAATTAGTAGTCTTTATTAGAATATTGAGAAGCCTAATACATTCATTAATCTTGATTGTTATGTTACTTACAAAGGCACACATGCTATTAAGCATTTTGGAGCTTGATAGCGCAGTGGATAGTGCGTTTGATCTGGGGTACGTTTGATCTACGATATGTGATACGATACGAACGACAAAAAAAAAAAAACGTATCCTCACGTGGAAGACACTTTAAGCTTTTGATCTCGGCTATATCTGCAGTCGGTAACGCCTACCCATCCGCAATGGGGCCGCTTGGTGGGTTTATATATGGCTTATTCTCCCTATTCGATTTAAGTCGCTTCCATTCATAGATAAGACCTGTGCCCCAGCAATGGGGACATTAATAGGCCAAACGGTATACCTAAAATTTTCATTTTTTTTTCAGATATCAGACATAGTGGTGGGGCAAGAAGCGAACGTAACCGCTCGCGAGGCGCTGCTGAGCTGGGCTCGGCGGTCCACCGCCAAGTACCCAGGAGTGAGGGTGACTGACTTCACATCTTCGTGGAGAGACGGTTTAGCCTTCAACGCGCTCATACACAGGAACCGGCCTGATCTGATAGACTGGCGTAATATCAGGTAAGAACAAGTTTCTGGCTAGTAGAAATAGAACTTGTTAAATAACTTATAGCTTTCCGCCAGCAGCTTCCCCGCGTGGTTCCTAGGGAACTGTTTAGTAGGAAAAAAAAATTCAAAACTAAAACCAGCTAAATCTCGTTGTAAAAAGTTTGAAACAAGAAATTTATTTTATAGTTATATTTTATTAGTGGTGACCAAAAGACAGCGTAGTCTTATTCCACAACAGTTTGTTTTGTTATGATCAGTCGGCTGCTAGTTTTTGAACTTATTTTTTTTATATAATTAATACAAACAGTTAAATCTTTCCGCTTTATAATATTAGTATAGAAGTATAGTCTAGCGGCCCCCTGCACGGGTATCCAAGGTTTCATAACTATCGTTTTTGAAAATGCAAACAATCAATCTGTTCTATTTATTAAATAATGTAGATAAATTGCTTCTAGCTTTTACATTTCGCTAAATTTTGATCTTCCTGACATTACTTCACCTTGTTTTATCCCATAAAATTTGAGATAGGTTTTAATTCGAATACAAAGTTTAACCAGATTTGTTTGACAAGTGTACTCTTATGGGTTAAGGTTTAATCAAGGGAAATGGGTACTATGTAAAAACTCACTGTAAACCACCAATAAGATGGCTCTTGATATCCCACCGGTTAAAGAAGTCCATTGCCATTCGACTTTTGTAACTTTACTGGAGTACCTGACGAATTTACACAATGTTGATTTTACATATGTTTTTCTTTAGATTCCCGTTTGACATATTATTCAAAAGGAATAGCCCGTTGTAAATTGTTTTTAATGAAAGTCTGATAATCTTGGAGATGGTATCTGAAGCAATGTGGGCTATAACTGTTATTTTATACTTGCGCATGTTGTAACATTGTGCTATGTAATGAATGTAATGCTAAATATTGGTCTATCACTTTAGGTCAAGGCAAGTTCGTGAGCGTTTGGAGACAGCATTCCATGTAGTCGAGAAAGAGTATGGAGTTACCAGGCTATTGGATCCAGAAGGTAAGAAACACTAATATTAGAAAACTGTATGCCTAACTCTGAGATAATTTGCCCTTTAATCTAGAGTACAAGCAATATGATACTTACTCTAGAGAAATATGAACTGGGCGTAACTCATACGAACACGGTCCAAACTTCACCTAGTTTTATGTCATTACAAATTTCTGAATAAATTGGGTTATAAATTAAAACATCAAGTATCTCAGCCTGGTTTTTATGCATAGCTTTTGCACTAAGAATTCAGGATTGTCACCTACATTGAGTGGTTATTCTATTTGGCCACAAACGAAATTCCAGGCAATTTACAAATGTTGTTGTAATTTTGCCAAAATCACATCTATGGAGATTATCTGTGCATCAGAAACAGCCGCAGGTCCATCCTCCGTTTCATTATAAATTACCGAAGGCGTTTCTTCGGAGTCGTTATTAGCGTTTTGAAAATAAATGATTTTTTCAGATTTTTTTGAGAAACAAAGGAGGCCTTCTAGTCTTACGACTTTTCAGGTTCCCTAAGCTGGTATGGGGTTCTGATAGTTCAACCCAGCGAATATACGGGTTTGCAGGATATTTTGTTTGTAAAGTGAAACTGTGATTTTTTTAAATTTGTTACAATTTTTTTGGTAATTCATTTTATAGTACACACACAGTATACAACTTTTTGCTTAGATTAGGTTAAATAATATTAATAAAATAAGTTTCTAAGCTTTTTTTCAGTACTATTTACATACACTCCAACCTTGTAATCCCTAGCAGATATGAGTAAATATAGGTACATATTTGTTGCATTCCATTAGGTTGTCGACCTTATTACTTAAATCGTTCAAGTTCATTGCAATCGATAACGCACAAAGCAGGTGGATCTCCATTGTTATTACACGCATCGATAATGTCGAATACTCATACACCATAGACACGATGGAGCGTGACGCGAATTTTAATTTTATCGTTCTATAGTTGTGGTTGGATTATTATACTGCCTCTACCGGTGAGAACTAATCAAAAGTAGACGATCGTAAAATTGCTTTATTAAAATAATTAGAAAAAAATCAAACTTCCAAACGAAAATATGATTTTTAAATATTTTCATAGGATTTATTAGTCTACACGATGGACGTACTCAAGATAACACATAAGGTTATCAGTAAGTGTCGAATTTCACGAACTATTTTGAACTCAAATTAAGCGCGTTAAAATTTTAAATTTTATTCTTGTAATTTTTTTAGTTTTGTATAACTTAATGTGTTGCCGACTGTACATATAAACATAAAATAAAATACTTAGTGTGGGAAATTTTGGATAAAAATATGCAGTTTACACAGCTATAAATTTTGCATTCTTTTTTAGACAAGAATTCTTGGATCTGTAAAATTCGTTTACATTCTTTATAACTGTCGTATGCACCAAATAATAAAAAAAAACGGAACGGAATAATTTAAAAAAGTACCTGCCAGCGTTGTTTAATTCTCAATAAGAATAATTGTCATCACTTCCAATGTGTAAAGGAAGTTTTATGCGAATCCGTAATGCTCGTATGGTGTCCGTTTGTTTATGGTGTGTTATTTTGCGAGACAAAATTTCATTGAAATGAACTATATCAAGAATGACAAAATTTCATTGAAATGAACTATATCAAGAATAGACTATTGAAATTACTTATATGCTATGTGACGTCTAACATTTCATCTCGAAGTTTGTTAGTTGAATATGAACTAGAAGAACATTTCTAATAGAGTTGATGACTAAAATTATTTTTACCTGTCATGAGATTCATGAGAAACATCCTGGTGACAGACAGACTGCGGAGTCTTAGTAATAAGATTCCGTTTTTACCCTTTTGGTAAGGAACTCTAAAAAATACCGTTTTAACAGTGCGTAGAAGGCAAACAGAGTTACTTTAAAACGTTTATCATAATAAATTCTATACAGACAAAGAGGAACATAGGAACTCACTTTAGGGAACATGAAGCTGATGTTAAGCATTGGCGCAAAAATAAATTGCATTGTGTGGACATGCGTTAATAGGACCCAAGCATTACATAAGATTTGACAACCCAAAAATACGTGAATGATACGTGAGGTTATTGTAATTAAAAAATTTAATAGAGATAGAGGGGTTGGCATTTACGACTGGCTTGGGATCCAGCAATTAGTCAAACAAAATATCGATTCAGATCACACATTACATTCATTCTGTTAATATTGAATTCGATGCGATTCACTTTTCTTGTCGGAGTTTGTTTCGTCAGTTCTTTTCAGACAAGACCCTCAAAGTTGGAACTGATGGTAGATTACGGTAGCTAGGAGTAAATAAATAAGCCAAATGTATTTTTATAATATAATATAAGAAATCAATCTGTTTCGTGAATTTAGTGCGGGAATGGTCTAGATTAAATTTAAATAACCTCTGAAGTTACATAAAGTTTTCATAGTTACATAAATATTAATAACGAAACGTGATGTCAATAATTATGATAAATTATGGAGGAATTTATTGAACAGGTATTGAGCGCCCAAAAAGTTAAAACATAACACGAAGGCGGACGCCCACTGATTTCCTTTCAATAAAACAACAAAATAATAGTCTTTGTTGTTTTTGATTAACTAGATAAATATAAGTATGTCGACAATCAAAAGTAAAATTTGCTTGTAGAGTTCCGTAACCAAAGGAAAAACGGAAACTCATAAAACGTGATAGACAGTTGAAATTTTCTTAGATAATGCATTTCTGTTGCTGTCAAAACAACAAATTACAGCTTAAAAACAGAAAAAAAATATTTAAGGGCATACCCATACGATAAACGTTTTTTTTTGTGTTTTTATAGATAATGGTACAGAGCCCTTTTTTTAAAGTTAAGGGATCTCAACTATAAAGTCAACAATAATACATTTTCCTTTTTTGTGAAACTTTGGTTTTATACGTTTCAAATTTCGTTTAGATTTTTTAAATAAATTGTATGATAGAGGTAGAGGTTCATAGAAGTATTTTGTATTTTTTTTATTTAATGAAATAAAAAGACACCATTTTGGTATTTACAGCAAAAGCTCTATATAAAATTATATCTATATTCTATATAAAATTATTATTACTATACAAAGATTACTTCTCAGAGGTAGCACCATATGAATTATACCATAATTAAAACCTTCAACACCGCATCATTTATCGTGATGACATCTCTGGCTGTGTAATACTTGACTTTTACTAAGAACCGAAACGTAAGCAAAGTTAACATAGATTATTAACCATTGCAGTGACATACGCAAGTCTGTACAAATTATTGCGAAGACTCTCAGCAGTGTATACGAAACAACGTTGTTTGTAACTTCGTCTCTACAGTGAAGTAGGTGTGGTGATTATTCACGCTAGCGAAGCTCGGTCAGGCTGTACACATACATTGCAATGCAAAGTTCAGCTATAAAGACGGTAAAACTTGAGTCATGGCTAAAAATAATAAAAAAAAGACTAAAGGCTTTGAATAACATTTGTAATAGCAGGAGACTAATGTAACAAATAGCAATACTTAGAGTCTGTTTCATTTTAAAGTTCTTTTATTGTCTAATCTAGTAGCATTTTAGGAAATTATTATAGATCAATGTGCAATGTATTTGGAATAACGTATTATTATTATAAAAAAGTAAACGAAAGATATCCGGTTTTTTTTAAAAACAAGAATTAACAAAAATCCGTATCTTAAAAATAGAACTACTAGGAAGAAGGTCACTGTCATTTAAAAAAACAATTCAAACTTTGACGCTAGATACTAAGTCAAATTTGGAACTATTAGAATTAACTTTCAAATAATACCTACCTATTTCTGTTCTTTCTAGATGTGGACACACACGAGCCAGATGAGAAGTCGCTTATCACGTACATTTCATCTCTATACGAGACCTTCCCCGAACCACCACCGGTGCATCCGCTATTCGATGCGGAGTCACAACGTCGCGCCGCAGCATACACCGAACAAGCCGCCATACACCGCGCGTGGCTGCATGAGAAATGTGCACTTATGCAGGTGAGAACAAAGCTTCTTTTACTAAAAAAAATATAACTGTCACTAAAACATTACGGACAAAAGCATTTTCTTTTCAATATAGAATCGTACAACATCTTATAAGTAACAACATTAATTACTCGAAGGACCAAGTTAACAGTCATTTATAATGAATAATTCTTTGTAAATATATCTTGAGAAATCGGTTCAGGTGTTGTTAAAGGCATATAAATATAAGAACTGATTTTTACTCACAAAAAAAAATTTATGTGAATATGAAAGGTTCGAAGGACCAAGTCTATAAAAATATGTTTTTGATGGTGAAGTCAATATATTTTCTTTCTTTTCATAGGACCGTGCTTTCCCGTCAACTTTGATAGAGATGAAGAAGCTGCTCAGTGAGAGCACGCGTTTCCGCAACGAGGAGGTGCCGCTCCGACAGAGAGAGAAACAGAAACTCTTCCATCAGTATAGAGAACTAGAGGTTACTATTGATTCATTTCATAAAAACATGAACAGCCAGGCAGATTAGGTTACTATAATATCTCAATTATCGCTATCGATTGTGAACTCTACTGTAACGCATTAAGATATGAAATCTTTATGCGTACAGTAGAATACAGTGTTGTAAGTTAATGGCAAGATATCAAACATTATAGACTCATTGTATTTTTATAAACTAACGCGACGATATTAATCTACTTTCTCCTCTTTGATATTTTTGATTAACGTCAGATGCAAGTTTTAAACAATACAAGTTGATCGGTCTCGAAGGACTATTTTTACTACAACACAGTTTCGTAATAAGCGATATTATCGCTCATCAGTCAAATCTGTTATTGCCAACAGAAATATTTCGAGTCGGTGGGTGAATGTGACATTGAACCGACTCTCCGACCTGAAGCGTTGGAACAGGCCTGGTCACGGCTGCTGATGGCCACACAAGAGAGGGAGCGAGATCTCTCCGATGAGATCAGACGCTTGGAACGTTTGCAACGGCTGGCTGAAAAAGTACACAGGTAAATACAATAATCGTTATAGATAAAATTAGTAACATTTTCTTTTATTCTATGCTACTAAAGTATGCCCAAATTCCACCTCCATAACTAAATAACTAGCATTCTAGTATGACCGGATGTTTTTTTTTCATATTGATTTGATCTGGGTGTCGTCGTATCTTAAACACAGTTCGGGGTGTAGTTACTTAACTTTAGATCCTAATAAACTTAACTAATTAATAAAAACTAATAAACTTAAACTTTAGATCCGGTGATGTTATCTAACATTTATTTTATCTACAATGTACATGTTATTATCGATGTGACAGTCATTGCCACTTTAAATCCAGCTCAAAGGACCAAATCAGAGCTGTTTATTTTTGTAGGAAAACACCCACGCACTAAATATAATTAAAAATATAAAAATTAATTTATTTTAAACACCTTTTTTTCTCTGAACATAATGTGAACTGCTCTCATATTAGGTTATTCAAACTGTATCAGAATTAATAGAACTTGTATACAATCGAATTCGAATATTCTCTAATATAAGTCTGATTTTAATTATACAGAGACATAAAACAAACTGAGAGTGGACTGGACAATGTCGAGCGTCGTATAGAGAGTGAGATACGACGGGTGGAACGCGGCGTACACCCCGCCGAGGCCAAGATGGCGGCCGAACAGATAGAACAGGAGTTGAGAACTATGGAGCACGTGATACAAGAGATGTTCCAAGACGTACATACGTTGAAGGAGGGCAAATACCCGCAGTCAGCTGAATTGCACCGCCGGTGAGTATCTTGCATTATGCATAAAGGTTCATTCATAGTGGTATTATAGATAGAAAAAGTGAGATTTCAGTAGATCCTCGGTTAGATGGAGACGGTAGCTGAACTCTTTCCGTCACTCTACTCGCCTATGCGTAGTTAAAGCGGAAAGGGAGTTCATCACAACATTTCCAGAGTTTGTTTACAGCTGTCCTTTGCATGCATCAGTAGAGAGATAGAGACAGTTGCTTCGGTCTTCTCTCTGTTAATTGTAGTAAAGACATATATCTGTACTACTCTATCTATAATAAAGAGGAACTATATAATATTTGGAAACGTAACGATTTCATCCGTGTATGAATACATGGCGCCATTGAAAGTGCTTTTTAATAAGTTTATTTTACTAAATGATATTTTGGTTTTGAAAATCATACGCATCAGTCACTGCGTTATCGAGATTCTGACTGACTATTTTTTTTATTGTGTGCCTTTTGACTCTGGTCATAAACAATTTTTCTTAGTTAGAGCGTATTAGCTTTGGTATGATTGTTACTGAAAAGATAATAGACGAAGTACCTAATCGAGCGCGTCGTGCAATTTGGTTAGAGAAGCCGCCTTTATGTCTTCAAAATATTAACTGCAAAGCGATTCTGTAAAATTCATGTGTCTGAATACACGTCATTTAGTGTAGGAATTCTATTGATTCCATTTCTGTATAAAAATACACAACAAAATTGATCGATAACGTTTCGAATCTCACTACGAAACGTTATTAGCAATTCAAGGTTCAACAATGCTGCTTGCATTTGAATTGAATTCAGACACCTGAGAGAATTCGTTCACAGAATCAATACTCAATAAGTCGCAGGGGTGAAGATCTCTTTTGATTTTTGATTTAGCGTGCAACAAGTGCAAGAGCGTTGGGCTAACGCGCGTACATCGTTCGCTAACCGCCTGGTGGCGCGACTGGCGGGCGTGCGGCTGCCCGTGCAGCACACCACCGTGCGCCGCGAGACGAGGACCGTGCTCGAGACGCGCGTGCACGACGCGGGGCCCGGCTTCCAGCAGCTGGCAGACGCCGCGCGCTGGTGCAAGGACAAACTGGTATGTCACGTGGACTAGTTCACCTCGTCCACTTGTATGTCGTGGGCCAATAGCTGAATTGGGCTGATCGTAATATGTCCGGGCATATCATGAAATACCGCCACATCTTAATTTGGCAATCTATCATCCGCCATATCTTTGAATGCTTAGCGTTTGATGATTTGCCCGACTATACTCAGGCCAATCGGTTTTTTAGGATGACCAAAGTACTATGTGAGCGGAGATAAGCAACAACCCAAATTTTCTCTTTAAGCAAATAAAATGAAGTTTTATTGATACGTTGCTCTCCTCCAAACTTTTAAACCGGGCCGAACGTGATTTTTCCGGCCAAATTAAGAAATGGCGGCATATCGTGATATGCCTCGGCAGAACTCGATCGGCGCAATTCAACGATTGATCCACGACATATCGATTTCCTTGACATCGGACTCGATCAAAATACAGAATGATCCAACTATAATAAGTATAAACATTCTTTGATTTCTTACATCTACCACCCTTACACAATAAACCCTTATTTAAGGATGCTTTTTGTATTTTACGAGTTATAATTTAATTTACTGTAATTCTTATTATGATCTTATTATAGCCCTAAAAAGATTCAAAAGGGAATATTTTCTTTTTCATATAGAAAAAACTTCACGAATCTGACTACGGATCTGACTTGCCATCGGTGCAACACGAACTCGACAAACACCAGAGAGAACACAAACAGATTGACCAGTTCCACGCCAAGGTAATTTTTTACTTGTCTTCTTACAGTAAAACTTACTAATATGACTTCCCAATGTATTAATCAGAAGGCTGCATTAAGAATGTTTCAAGTAACTCGCCTCATAGTTTCGAATATGAAATACGATAAGGGTGGGAATGGGTGGGAAATTAACGATGATGTTGTACGTCTTATGTTTGATTAATATCACTACTCAAAACCAAAAACCAGCAACGCGTGAAAAAATAATAGTCGTTTTTAAATTCCATTGTACTTTTCGGCGGATATTGTGTTCAAATATTAAAATGACATCCTGGCAAAGCTGCAATAAAAACATAAATGAATTGTGCAAACAGGTTTTTTTAGAATTTGCTTTCCGTATTTGCTGAGTACGTAATTGAAATTAGCTAATACAAAGTATCGAAAAAGGAATGAATATATGTATTTGCGACAGTTTTGGTTACTAACCTATTCTGGTGTGAAATAGACAAATGTTTGTGGAAGTTCCTTGCCTCCATACTCCATACAATTAATAAATTTTAGGTCGATATTAGTGACGATTCTGTTGTTATTTATCAGTTTATAAATATCCCCACTGCTGGGACAGTCTATATATCTAATATGCAGGATAAGCGGCCACCACGCGAGCCCTGTTTGGATAGATCATCGGAAGCACAGAAGAGCTCGAAATAATTAATTATTCACTCATAAGAGTATTGTCAGTATTGAAACTTAGTCTCGTTTATGTTATCTAACTTCACCATAAATAATTTCTGTCGAACTTGGATTTAATGGAATTAAATCGGAAAAGGCAAAATACAATTGCTAGTTAAATATTTTCATTTCAATTTTTCCTTTGCTTAACAGGTGGAGCAATGCGTTCACAATCGCTCTAACTATTCAGGCGAAGAGCTTACCCTTTACAACCAACATCTTAGTCAACTGCAGAAGCTTTATGCCGATTTGCTGTCTACTAGTACGAAACGGTGAGTACATTATACCATAAAAGTGAATTAAATTTTCGTAAAATAAGTTTAAATTACTAATGCCTCTTTTAAACATGGAAGCCTGATTTAGGGTTGATTACAGAATTTAAAAAGTTACACGGACATATCATTGTGAGAATTTTAAATATAATAATAAATTAGTTTAATACATTATCTACGCGAGTGTCTGACTCGGTCTGTACTGGTTGTTTAAAGTAAATATGACACCCACAAACCAACCACTTAAATATATCGACTTCGCTTTTGTTGACTTTGGATTCAATCAAAATACACTCAACATTAAATACTCTATAGAACCTTGAGTGTATTTTGATTAAATTCAATGTCAACAAAACCGTTACTAATGTAGTAACACGGTAGAGCTCCTGACTTAGTGAAGTAATTTGGAATTTTGTGTTGTCTAATATATATTTTTTTGTTTACTTTAACAGTATGTCTGATTTGGACGCGTTGCAAGACTTCCTTCAATCAGCCACCGCTGAACTGAATTGGCTCAACGAGAAAGAGCAAGTGGAGCTCTCAAGAGATTGGGCGGATCCTCACATCAATCTGCCAGCTGTACAGCACTATTACGAGGTTAGTGTATTGTTCAAACTATTTTGAACCTTATTATTATATTCTTAATAAAAATAACTGTCAATAAGTTTCATATTTACGAAATAAAAATAATTATTATCGTAATGCGAATAGTTTTTAAATTATAGTATAGTATAAGTAGCACGGTGGCTTAGTGGATAAGCGCCGCGGCCCGCGATCGTTGTCGTTAAGCAACTTTCGCAAGGGTCGGTCACGGGATGGGTGACCAAAAAGTTATTATCTCGAGCTACTCCGTGCTTCGGAAGGCACGTTAAGCCGTTGGCCCCGGCTGCATTTGCAGTCGGTAATACCTTCCAATCCGCATTGGGCCAGCGTGGAGGGTCATGGCCCATCCTCCTTAACCATCCATAAGGAAGGCCTGAGCCCCTGCAGTGGGGACGTAAAAGGGCTGATGATAATGATGATGATGATAGAAAAGGTTTTATCAAAAAAGGGTCTTAAAACTGCATCGAAAACATAATCCAAGTTTGAAATACTTTCTCTCGGGATTTGTATATAAATATACAATCACAGAAGGTACAAAACCAGCAATGGATATTGTTAATAACAATATTTTACGTTAGCAACACCTCAGCTTCAGTATTGCCAACATCCCCATCCTCACAGATGTCGTATTCATATAATTTACACAATAGTTTCAATTTCTTTTAATTTTTCTGTGCAAGCATTCATTTGGAGACGATAGTGAGGTTTGTTTCCACAAAGTTTTAGTTCTTTATATTATTTCTGTTGCTGTTATGTTACATTGACGTTGCTTCTTTTTATTCATTGTGAAAATTTGTATTCTATATGTATGCTAATAAGGTTTATTTTTCCATAGCAACTGATGTCGTCTTTGGAGAAACGTGAACTTCAATTCAGCAATGTCATTGATAGAGGAGAGGCGTTGATCGCTCAACATCACCCTGCTATTAAGACTATTGAAGCCCATTTACAGGTTTGCTTTTGATAATTTAAGCTACAAATGACTTTGAACCTTAAAGTCTGGTCATTGAAACTAGAGGAGGAGAGGCGTTGATCGCTCAACATCACCCTGCTACTAAGACTATTGAAGCCCATTTACAGGTTTGCTTTTGATAATTTAAGCTACAAATGACTTTGAACCTTAAAGTCTGGTTATTGAAACTTATAATTTTTAAGATTAAATTTTGGGAACCTACAGTTTATCAGACACTTCATAGTATTAAAATTAACATTAATATTTACAAGTATTTTGGCAGGATATCAACTTTTTATTATATAACATTTTTATATTTATTGTGTAGGTGATGCAGTCGCAATGGGCTTGGGTGCTTCAATTGACATTGTGTCTGGAAACACATCTCAAACATACAACGCAGTACCATAATTTCTTTGAGGAGGTGAAAGAAGCAGAGAAGTGGATACAAAAGTGAGTAAAGAGATAACAAGAGAATTGGATTAATTAAGAAGAATATAATAGAGATATCATTAATTACTGATATATCTCTATATATATAAAATTCTCGTGTCACAATTTTCGTTCCCGTACTCCTCCGAAACGGCTTGACCGATTCTCATGAAATTTTGTGAGCATATTGAGTAGGTCTGAGAATTGGCCAACATCTATTTTTCATACCTCTTAGTGATAAGGGTTGCGGGAATCTGACTTCCACGCGGGCGAAGTCACGGGCGGTCACTAGTTATATATAAAAACATCAATATAAATAAATGCTAGTCGTAGTAAACTCAGCTTACGACTCATCTTAAAGAATCACTGAAGAATTTTCAGCTATTCACTAGGGTTTAATATTCCTTCGTTTTTTTTCACAGCATCTACAGATTTATTCAAATGACTCTTTTTATGTCGAATAGTAACAAAATAATTCATACTATAATATAAAGTTTTTACATGATGACAGAACCTAAAATTAAATTCTGATTTCTCGAATATTCAATTATGTGTTTCAAAGTGTGAATGTTTGGAACTATGGTTTGATTAGAAAAATTAAATACCATTGTTTTTATTGAAAGGCAAGTGAAAATAGTGTTTTACAATTTTCTCAAATATCTTATCGATGTTCTTCTTTATAGACGCGAAGAAGCTCTCAACACTACGTTTTCCCAATCGGAGTTCACTTTGGACCAAGGCGAGCGTTTATTAAAAGGAATGCAAGACTTACGCGAGGAACTTAACGCTCACGGCAGCGTTGTTTCTAAGCTAGTGGATGAAGCTCAAGAGATTAGACCGGTGAAACAACGCCGGTCACCCATCACGAGACCTATAAGAGCCGAGACCGTATGCGCTTATAAGCACGCTAATGTGAGTTTTCCTTTATTACTCAAAATAGCTGAATGTTTAGACAATATTTCTTTCATTTAGAAAACAAAGAACACGCAGTACGTAAGATTAAGTAAAATGGCGATTGCGCAGTTTTCGGATCTCCACTTTTAATTTGTACTTTATAAACCAGCCCATCAATGGGTGTTCGTTTGTGTAGAAAATTTAGGTTAAAAAGTTGTATAAAAACACATATGAAAATGAAATATTTTCAATCCATTAAAAGTTTGTTTTCAATTAAAAATTCAATAATCAGGAACTATATATTTATTCAAAACTAAGCCATCGCCCTTCTCAAGCACTTTTAAAGTCGCTCTTGCAAACTCACACTTCTAGTTTCTTTTATCTTGAAAAAGAAAATATATTCCAATCAAGTCAATTTACGATAATGTAATGATTTGTATTTTATTATTTTTTTTATTGTTGATACAGGTGGCAGTAGAGAAAGGTTCAGCGGTGACTGTGATCGACAACTCTGGTCGCAGCAGATGGCGTGTACGTCTCGGCGGTGCGGGTACCGAAGTGCAACTACCAGGAGCGGTGCTAGCGCTACCGCCGCCGTGCCAAGACGCTTTAGATGCAGCGTCTCGACTGAGGAACTCTTATGATAGAGTAAGTTGAATATAACTCGTTCGAATAAAAATTACACTTGGAGGCCGATTCTATGCGTCCTCGAATGAAAATTCTGAAAATTGCGGATTGGTAATAAAAGTTTATTAAAATAATTTCCGTCAAGATTATCTGTGCATCAAGGGCAGTGTCAGGACCCCCGTTGTATCATAAATTATCGACAAATGCGTTTCTTTGGAGTCGTATTAACATTTTGAAATAAAAACAAAAGTTCGTTTTCAGAATAAAAGAATAGACCTTCAGGTATCGTTGTAAGGGTAGTTCTACGATCACATAATAATTTTGGGTCATTGTCAATTTTTCGCCAGCCCTTGGAAAATGATTGAACGTTTATTAGATTACAAATGGCCCCTGCGGAGTTTGGATCCAACGAAAGGTAGCCTTAAACTCCCAGTACCAAAAAATACATCTATATTCATTCAATTCGCACATGATAATGTCATGCTAATGTTTACTATTTGTAATAACACGAAAGTATAGTTAATAAACATTACTGTTTACTAAGTTTATTTACTTAACATTTAAGTACTCGATCATTGTTCCGATTATTGATAAGTGTACGTTAATAGCATTTGTTATTAGTTGCCATTTAACAAGGGCAAGATGTGGATGCATTTAGTGTTTTATGAAGAGGAACTAATAAATTGTCGCAAAACGCAATTAAAAACGGTTAAAAAAGGCTGCTGCCTCAATATTTATTTATTTGTGCAGTGACTAAAATGAGTCTAATGAGCTTCTAAATGACATTTAATAATTGGGTAAACTAATTACGTATAGTGCGTGTACCATGATCCTAATTTTTTGTTTCTTGAAGGTAAAGTTATTTTAAAATTTACTATTTCATATACACTTGTTAAATAAGACATATGACAGAAATAGAAAAAAAGCGACTATTTTTAATAACGATGGGCTATTACGTCATATGTATCTTTCTATCCTTGTCTAATTGAAATTTTAAATGTTCATTTCTCAAAAAACATGTCCATTCATAATTTATTTATGGACAACATTAATTTATTTGATAAGTTTTCTGATTTTTCTGGTTGGATTTAAATAACAAAATAAATTATGACACAAATATATCAATAATTTATGTTGCCAAATTTGTGACACATTTTTATATGAAAACACTGGAATAGCAGGACCAATCCATATGAATGTTTTTACAGAGAAAAACCCGGACTAATTTGATGTAGCGCTTTGTAACTGCGAAATCCTCGCAAACGAAGTAAAGGACAGAATCAGTGGGTCTTCTCTAAAACTGCTTCCTATATACAGGGTTATTTGGAAAACAATATAGCTAACATCAAAACGTTTTATCTGCGAGTTTTTTAATAACTCAATACTTTGAACAAAATATATTTTAAACAATTTTGTATTGTGTTGTCTGTTTTATATATTTATAAACGATAGATGTAATTATGCTCACGCGCTGATGTTATCTTTGTTATTAACGATTCAATAGTAAATAAGTTCTTCTATGAAAGCCAAATGTAACGAAATATCAAAAGTTATAAAACAACAATTTATGATGATGGCTATCTAGGCTTACGAAGTTGTTAGTGTTTTACTACTGACCCTGTTTAGTAAATAACATCGGGATTTGCCCTACTCTACGCCAGAAATACGAGTAGAAGACAAAGAGAGACGTAAAAATAGTTTTTTTTTTTTTTTTTTTTTCTATTTTTTTAAGGACTTTTATCTTTAAGATATGACAGTCCTATCGTACCCTAAATATACATAATCTACAGCTTTAAAATAATAGTTGAGAGATCAACTATCATCGATGACTTACCATGTCGCATATAAGTTTAGCTGTGCTTGCCAATGGTTCACTCAGTAAACTTTGGAAAATGCCTAAGTCAAGTTGGTTTAACTTTAGAGTAGTCATCAGTGTTTGTCGCTCTCTCATATTTCTGTGACATTCCAACAACAAATGTTGAACGTCCTCAATTAGACCACAAGTATCACAATTAGGCGAATCTGTTTTTTTCATTAGGAAACCAAAATTGTTAGTCGGATAGTGTCCAGATCTAAGTCTATGCATGACTATAATATCCTGTCTGCTTAAATTGCAGTTACTGAACCATGGTATTCGAAGAGGCTCACACTGGATAGTTTTATACCAAATACCTTTGGATGTTGAGCGTTCATCAAAGTATTGCTTCCATTTGTTGTAAATATATTTCTTATACTTTGGTAGTAATTCTGTATAGAATTGAGAAATATTTAACACATTTCCATCTGTAGAGGCTACTTTCGCTAACCTGTCAGCCTCTTCGTTTCCACTTAATCCAATGTGAGATGGAACCCACTGAAGTCTAAGACATTTACCGCTATTATGACAATCATGAAGCTTTGCAAGAATGTTATAAGCTATCGGTACACCTCTAAAACCAGAGGCGCAACGAGCTATATGTTGCAAAGCGCTTTGACTGTCTGAAAAAATAACACATTTTGTCAATTTTTCTTCGATTGAAAATGTAATTGCTTTATATATTGCTATTAATTCTATGGACATTATTGATATATCAGCTTCTATTTTAAAACCAGCTTTATGTTGTGGATATGAACAGAAAAAGGCAGCACCTCTCTTTGCTTTTGATTTCGATCCGTCTGTATAAATTTTATGCCATTCTCTATATTTTTTATCTAGTTCTGATATAATATCATATTTCATTGATAAATTGTTTTCATTCTTCCTTTTTGAACCGTCAACGCTTTCTAAATTAATTTTTATTGCTTCTAATAAATTGATATAAGTAACCCAAATATTTAGTTGAAACATACACAATGGATAGGAAGAGTGAATATTATTTTCATTTTTAGTTATATTATATACCGTAATTAATAGTGGCTTTTTCTTTTTATTCCAATAATTTCTTGTGCACTCCTGTCTTAATTTTTCGAACAGCTCAATTGTAATATTATTTTTCCAAGATAATGTTTTTAGGCAATATTTAAAAGCTAAAAAATGTCGTCGCAGATGTAAAGGTGGGATAGACGTTTCGCTTTCCATTACATGTATCGGCGAGCTTCGGATAAATCCTCCAACAATTCGAAGAGCTTGGTTTTGTAGCTTGTCCAGTTTCGAAAGATGGGTTTTAGCGCTATTGTCATATAGAAAACATCCGTAATCAAATCTACTTCTAATTAAAGAGATATATAATTTTCTTACATGTTTTGGGTGCAGTCCCCAACTCGAACCGGAAAGCACTTTCAACACGTTGAGGATTTTTTGAGTCTTTTGATAAATTTCATTAATATGTTTTCTCCATATAAGCGATCTGTCGACCCAGAACCCTAAATATTTAATACATTCTGAAGCTGTAATTCTTTGGTCATATATAGTCAATTTTAAATTTTGTTGCTTACGTCCTCTACTAAACACACAGTAATTAGATTTTTTAGGAGACAATACTAATCCAATATCTTCCAAGAGTGTTATCATTAAGTTAATATTATTTTGAATTCGTCTTTCTAGGTCTTTTAAATTTTTATCTCGAATATAAAGTACAAAATCATCCGCATATTGACTAATTTGTACATCTTGAATTTCCTGACAGATTTTAGCAGTAACAATATTAAATAATAGAGGAGAGATAGGATCTCCTTGTGCCAATCCTCTACTACTACATCTTTCCATTGTTTTAGCCTTGAAGTTAGTTATTTGCAACCGTCTAAAACTTAAAAAAGTCCAAATATATCTGCAAATTGATATTCCTACTTTTAATTCATTAAGAGTTTTCACAACTTTGCTTATTAAAACGTTATTGTAGGCATTTTCAACATCCAAAAAGCAAGCCAAAGTAGGTTCATTCGTCGAAAAACCTGTCTGTATATAAGTAACAAGACGCACCAAGGGGTCAATACAAGAATGAGCTCTTCTAAATCCTGTGGACATGTTAGATATAATTTGATTTTTTTCTATATACCATTCCAAACGTTTCGCTATCATTAAGTGGAATATTTTACAGATACACGAAATTAACGATATCGGTCTCAACTTTTTTTCACCTTCATTATTACACCCTGGCTTTGGTATCGGAACTATTTTAATACATTGCCATTGTATTGGTACTATTCCACTTGAAAAGATATCATTATAGAGTGATAACAGAAACGTTAGGCTGTTTATTGGTAAGTTGGATATCATAGAGTATGTGATATTGTCGTTTCCTGGAGCGGTGTCTTTTTTTTTTAGACAATGCTTAAGTTCTTGCAAGGTGAACTTCGATTCCAAAATTGTATTATCCGAATTTAAGTATGGTCTATTTTCTAATACTGTGTCTGGTGCTAATGTATTTAATAATTCTTCTACTTTTTCTTCTGGCGCTTGAAAATTTGTTTGTTTATAGCCTTTTATCCAGCGCATTTTTCGCCACATATCAGAAACACTATTCGAATTATCTATATCACAACAGAACTTTTTCCATGATTCCGATTTGGCCTTGCTTATCATATGCTTTGCATCTTGTGTCTTCTTTTCCAATACAGATAAATTCTGAGGAGTAGGATTACGTCGGAAATGTTTTAAGGCTAATCTACGTTGTGCAACAATTGCCGATAGTGATGGATTCCAGTAATTCTTCGGTACGAACTTTCGTTTTATATTATTGCAAAATTTTACTAATGGAATGTTATTGTCAGCAGCTTGTTTAATTTTTTCTTCGAAGAAGTTATATTTATTTTGTAAATTTTGGTCATAAAACTCACTGCAACTATCAAATGATAATTTTAATTCCTCCTTGTAACCTGTCCAATCCGCTAACTTGTAATTCCTTTTTTTGGTTATATTGACTTTATCTGTATAGTGTAATGATATTTTGATCATGAGGTGATCACTACCAAGTTTTTCATTCATAGTTTGCCAATTTAAACTTGTAACAATATCACTTGATGCAAACGTTATGTCGGGAGTTGATTCCTGAAGGATTCCATTGACTAATCGAATTCTCGTAGCCTGACCGTTATTAAGTGATATGAAGCTGTTTTCTAAGGCTGAATCAAATAGCTGCATTCCTCTTGTGTCATTTTTGTATGACCAATTGGTATGGTGACCATTAAAATCACCAGCTATTAAAGTCTTGTTTTTATAAGCCGAAAAGAGGCTGTCCCAATTCAATTGAGTAGTATGTATCGTGGAAGGACAATAAACGGACACAACATGTTCAATATGTTTACAATTGAGAATCTTTATAGCTATTATTTCTATTCCTGAATTAGTTACAGTCACTGGGGTCGCATGTGTAACAAGAGAACGATGAGCTAAAATTGCAACTCCCCCATATCCATCAGCCCTATCTTTTCTATAAAGGTTATACTCACCCGTATTTAAAAGTACTTCTTCTTCAAGCCACGTTTCGCTGATTATAGCTAAATGAATTTTTTCTTGGTTTAACAGCGAGAAAAAACTTACGAATTTTGGCCTTAGACTTTGTGAGTTCCATTGCATCACGTTTACATCGAATACTTTAAGAGAACTATGATCCATAAAGAATATCAAATAATGGTTTAATAAAGTCTCCACATTTAAAACTAGTCAAAATATAATTCTTAATTTCTTCAAATATTAATTTAAATATCAATACTAATTTACGTTCTAGGGTCATGTTAGATATAACGATTTCTTTAATCTTAATTAATAAAATTTTGAAAATGTTTTTTCTGTCTATGTTATTTGGATACTCAGATGTGTTATGATGATTTTCAGTTTCATGAGTATCACACATATAATCTTCCTGTTGATATTCTTTTGTGGTCTTCTTTGTTTTTGTTGATTTTATGCCTGACTGATCTTCTTTACTGTACGAGTCTGATTGGTTTTCTTCTTCCATACTCTCCAAAAATGTATTATTTTCCTTTGTATTCATTATAGGTTTATTTGATTTGACAACGCTGCTATAAGTGGGTCTAGAAGAAATTGGAAGGACGACTGATTGACAGTCCATATTTTCATTTATATATGATTCGGTATTTCCACCTTTGTTCTGTCTTAAAAATATTTGTAGGCCTTTTCTATACGTTATATTTTCTTCACTCATTATTTTACGAATCTCTTTTTCTTTAAGAAACGCTGGACAAGATTTATCCAGAACGAAATGTTTTCCTTTGCAGTTTAGACATTTTATATCTGTAGTGGTACAATTTTTGTGGTTTTGACCACATTTTGGGCATTTAATATTTTTACTTGGGCAAAATTTTAATATATGTCCAAATCTCCAACAGCCAGAGCACTGAGTGACCGGAAATACGTATCGTTCAACTTTAAATCTACACCCATAAGCATATACATACGGTGGAAGTGTTGAGTTGTTGAAGCATATACGAATTGTTTCACTTTTTGTCCATTTTCCTTCGGTATTTAAACGATTCAATCGATTGACTGAAATAATTTTGTAACAGGATTCGAATATCTCAATAATATCTTTATCTTCAAGCTCTAAATCTACTCCTCTTACTATTCCATAAGATAAGGCCATCTCAGATACTATCTGACATCTGCCACCCATCTCATTAATTTTGGTGCATTTCATTAATTTTTCAGCCTCATGTCGATTTTCAAAGTCAATAAGTACTTTATAAGGACTTTTGTATTTTATTTGAGTAATACTCTCGATGTTTTCGTTTTTTAATAATTTGGCTAAAGCCATTTGTTTTGGTAGTATTTGTAATGAGGTTATGCATACTTCTGTTTTATTCTCAGTACTTGTATCAGTTAAATTATTCGAATTTACGATTGAAGTATTCCTGTTTAATCGTTTCGATCGTCTCTTGGTAACCGTTGTAAATTCATCTTCGATAATTTCTTCGCTGTTTTCACTTTCTTCGCGGGTTCTCTTCTCCACTAATTTATTTTTAGATAAGTCTCGTTGCGTGTTTTGATTTTCCAAACCTTTCCATTCAAATATTTCTTGCATTTCTTTCTCACATTCCTTTAACACTTCAGAATCGCTCATATTCACATTATTATCATCGTCATTATCACTATTTTCGCTCATTTTAATTTATTGTATTATCCGAGGGTACTTGTAAAACAAAATACCAATATGTATGATGCGGCTAGCCAATACACTGCGCACGTATGCTCACTGCAACTCCAACCGCGCAACTGTAAAAATAGTTAAAAATAGCTTGAATTCAATTTAAAAATTAGATATAATAGTTATCAAGTTATTCGTTGTTACGTAAAGTCATAATTTAGGTTTTATTACGACTGTTCAATATTATTTTCTAAATTTTTTATTTTGTCCGTAGGTAATTCAATTATGGCAGAGGAAACAGCTGAGGATGCGTCAAAACATGATCTTCGCTACCATAAAGGTGGTGAAAGGATGGGATTTCCCTCAGGTATTTTTTTCATAGATTTTCGTTCGAAAAACCTACTTATTACTATTTTTATTTGAGCGACACACTATATGTTATGTGTAGCTCGTGTGTAATGTAAACAAATACATAAACCATCATTTTTCTCTATACCTTGAAGTGTTATATTATTTGTTGCTATAGAAAACAATATTTGTATATAAGAAAAAGGCATAGTGTAGAAGAAGTGCTTAAGAACATTGATAGATGTAGTTAGTCTCTTAGTATGTATTTATATTTTATTTCGTGAATTCTTTTATGTAAGAAAAACTGTCGCTGAATATAGAGTCAATTTAATGTTACATTATACAACTTTCTCACGGTTTTTTTATAGATTTAACAATTTTATAAAAAGTTTGGAGTTTAAAATTGAAAAATTATTGTAGTTAGTTAATGGTTGAATTTTCCCACTAGTTTGTGGCAATGGGAGCGGAACAGAGGCAGGCTATTCGCCGTGCTTTGAATGAGGACGCCGAGAAGTTATTGGCTGAAGGCGACCCTGCTGATCCTCAACTTCGACGCCTACGCAGAGAGATCGATGACGTCAACAGGCTGTTTGACGAGTTTGAACGGCGAGCCAGGGCTGAAGGTGAGCTATTTTTTTTGGTCTTTTTTATAGTAGTAATAGCATAAGTAATGTGTTTATGACTATAAATTTCTAAGCAGTTTAGCATACGTTATTAGACGTTCAAAAATGATTTCTTCCTATATATACAGGATACATTATTTATACTAACAACCTCGCCAAACTGGAACAGCTAACATTATAAACAACAAAATTTGTTCTACGAGTTTTTTGATAGTTTATTACATTTTAATTGTATACAAAAATAATAAAAAAATAGTTTGATCAACTGCTCGAATGTTAACTCGAACTCTACGCTCGTAAGTATTTAATTCACACAGCGTACGGGCATAACTTCATCCTTTCGTTAGTAAATAAAACCTAGACATATAAATTACACGATTGTACAGTAAAAAAATATTGAGTTATGAGTATTAACTCATAGATCGAGCGTTCTCATTTATAATCTTAGCTATCCAGTCCTGATAGGTTCTTGATGACTCATAATTAACCCTGTATACATATGACGTTTATTGTTAAATTAATTAATGAAAGATTATACTTTAATATCAGTATAAGGAGTGTTAGGAAAAAATACATATTTTATCAGCAAAATAAAAATTCGGAGGACCTCGATCTAGCACTGGTTAATGCGTCCAGTCTGCGATGCGGAAGTAATGGAACTTTCGCAAAGTTCCTACTGCCTATAAATGAAATCGAATTCAACCAAACCGGTCATAGGAATGATGACCAAAATGTATTATCTCTAGCTCTCCCGTGCTCGCATGATGAGTCATGTCCCATCTTCTTATTCGATTGAATTCGATTCCATCCATATTGACGCCGTGTGCCACAGCTGTGAGATATTAATAGGCTAAACGCGATAACAGTTTGCAACAACAAAAGCCATCAAAACGAGATTGCAGGGACAAAATCTTTAATCTTCAAATAAATTTTAATTAAGTTTCACCATCACCACTATGCCTTATCATTACTTTAAAGGAGGACAAAATAGTACTTATTACCTTTATCTCTAATGAGAGCCAAATAACAAGGAGAGATAAGACCGCTGTGGAACGTCTCTAATGTCTTTGCTACATTAATGACACACTTAATGCGATATATTAAGCTTAATCTCGTTGTAGAAGTAAGAATGACAAAAATTCTTATTACAATACCACCATGTTATATCAAAAAATTAAGTAGTGTGAGAGAAAGACAGTGATTTTTATTCAATTAAAAATTAGTTTTTTTTTTTACAATTATAGTTCAAGTTGTGAAAGAATATTAATCTCTTTGGAGACAATTCTCTTTTTATAACAAATATCACTGTAATGATACGTTCTTATTTCAAAACGAAAACTTTAATTAATAATTTGTAGACTTGCAACAAATGGTATATTCGGCCATATGCCTAATACCGAATAATCGGTGAACTTTCTGGCCTAATATATAATAATTAGTCAATATATAAATAAATAACAAAAAGGACACTACATATTATTCCAAATAATACTAGTTAGTTATTTCATTTTAACAAACAAATTATATAAAAATAAAGGTTCGCTTGTCTATTGTTATACGAATCTTACGTAGTAGTTTTTTGTATGAGTAAAAATATTTAACAAAATTAAAATATAAACACCTTCTTAAAAGTAATTAAATCATCTAAGTAATGAAAGTAATATACTATTTCAACAATTATTTTTAATTGTGTTTATAAACAATAATTTTCAATTTATAAATGATATAGTGGTTTTTTCCTCTTAAATGTGGTTCAATTTAATAGCTCAGCTATATGTTCTTTGGAGCACCAATTGAAAGATTATTATCTATCATTATTATTGGGTCACATATGGTGCGGTTAAATTGAAGATCCATTTCAATTGACATTGGGCTGTTGAATGCAGTAATCGAATTGAATTTTATTTCATTTAAAAAGGTTAATCTATTTTTGGTACCATACCATTGTGTTTATAATAATTTGAGTAGCTCGGTGGCCTAGTGGATAAGTGCCGCGGCCCGCGATTGATATTAAGCAACTTTCGCAAGGGGCGATCACGGGATGGATGACCAAAAATAAATATTATCTCGAGCTACTTCGTGCTTCGGAAGGCACGTTAAGCTGTTGTTCCCGGTTGTGTCTGTAGTCGTCAATACCATCCAATCCGCATGGGCTCGCGTAGAGGGCTATGGCTCATCCTTCTTAACCATCCATAAGAAAAGCCTGAACCCTTGCAGTGGGGACGTAACAGGGCTGATGATGAGGAATAATGTGTATTTTAGCTTGATGAACCAATGTTTACATTTCGATACCATTTTCTATTACTTTATTGTTTTTTTTTGATTTTGCATCTCGCTCAAACTGAAATTGTTTCCTATCGAAATCACATTCATTACTAGAAATTCCTTTTGTAAACTTATTCCATAAATGAGAATGTTAAGAGGATAGGAGCTGTTTAAGTAAGTCATACATGTTTATTGTTTACTTTTTTTATAATTCAAGACGAAACATCCTTATAGTGATACAGACATGGTTTATTTTTGTATAAACCAGGTGTATGAAAAAACCTGTGCTCTTATCATTTGGAGTTATGCTTGTCATTTGAATGCCCTATGATATTACTGATAGCGTAATTTATGGTGTGGGTGTACTATTACTAGATAGCTTTAAGATTTTTTCGTCTCGCACGTGTCCTATTCCTTTTGATATTTGCTATTAAGTAGTTTAAATAAATATTGATCTGTAGTAATGTAGCCCAAAAAAGTATTAACAATGATTAAATGATTACAGGTTACAGTGCGCTTTTTATAAATATGTTATTTATATCACAACCAATTTCTATCGTATGATATGATTTGATAAATGCTTTGAAAAAGTCAAGTCTCTGTTACTAAATGTAAGATACGAACCGTGCCGTTTTAATAACAAGATAACTATTCTTCCACAAAAACATTAACTGTCTAATTTCTCAAAACCTTTTGCTTTTGTTGATAGTAAGAATATTTTTATCATTATATATTAAATACGAATGAAATGTTTAAATTATCACAAACATACAACAAAGACTTAAAAAGTTCAAATCTTTGCTTTTATTTGCATTCGCAATATTTTAATTTTGTTTTATAGAAAGATAGGAATTGAAACATTCAACAGGTGGTGCTCGAGTGCTATATATAAAAATAAAATTATAAATACGTAAAAATATTTGTTAATTAAATAATATTTAAAAAAAGGGGTTCTAAAATGAAGGTAATTTATTAGTTCTGCCCATTATTGTTACTCTTCAAAGGATCAAGATAACATCAGCGTAGTAAAGTAATGTTACGTACGAGGTTGCGTATAAAAGACGCGTTGTACTGCCTATCAGCGTCCTACGGGAGCACTGTCACATTCAATTAGTTCACGGCGTTGTCACGGCGCGTTTTTTTTATTATCTCTTAAATAATAAAAAAAAAACAAGGCAATCTACATTCGGCTAAAAAGTTTCCATAATTTCTTTTAAAAAAGTTCTTAATTCATATGATATAAATATAAAATGTGAACTAATAATTAACTTTACACTAATTCGTCTGTTATATTCAGCTTATGAGTGAATAATTTTAGTCTCTTCATTATTTATGTAATGACCAAAGACTTTTATATTTAGCTCAAACGAGGGACATACATTTATTTCAAAGAAAGATCATTCAATGCTTAGTTTGAATATAAACATTGATATGTCATATACGCTGGATGAAGTGGTTGTGTGCGCTTATTATAAAAATAGTTAAAATTAGTGCTTTGTGTTCTATGTGGTTGTGATAAAGTTGTGTTTCGTGCATCAATTATGAAGAAAATCAAAAGAATTTTTTCATTCAGCAAAGGAAATTCAGGTAAATGGAAAGTTTAACACCAATATCAAATCTCCGATAAAATACAAGATCATATTTAAATTTCGGAAAATTTTGAATCGTATGAAGCTTATCTGTGCATGAGAGGCAGTGTCCGATCCTTCCTCCGTTGCATCATAAATTATCGTAAAATGTGTTTCTTTGGAGTCGTATTATCATTTCGAAAATAACGAAATTTCGTTTTTGGTAAAATAGGATATGGCTTCAGGTGTCATGTTAATTCGTACTTATAGTAATTACCATCTATGACTTGAATAAATATAAACAGCAATGCCAGGGTTTAATTATTTTTTTTATATATATCTCGGCCAATTTGAGTCTGTGGTCTTTTAATTTATAAGCAGTGACATATGCTCGCCGGTTTTTATGGCATATAGCTTCGTTTTCCGAGAACACGCGATCAGTTTGATGGTGAGAGGTATGTCTTGACCATGCCGAAGTGTAATACTGTTCCTTCGCTAGTCATTCCACAATCAGTGATATCTCAATGTGAGGAATTGAGTATAATGGGCAAACAAACACGCAACGCTTGTACGTGTCGTCAAATTGGTGATCTCACTCACCAATTACAAGGACTGCGTTTAGGTGTTGACCTTCTGTTCATTTGCTTTTTTATTTGCCTTAAATTGGACACCTACATAGTCTTACATAAAATATCTAGGTTAAAAGTCAAACCAGTGGAAATTAGGGTTTTATTGTATGTATTTTTTATGTGGTCACGCCCAGTTAAGAATTAAGAAAATTAAGAATTAACAATAAAGAATTAAGTTATAATATTTGTTTTTTTTTACTTTTTTAAAAGAATACTTTGTTCTCAACTTTCATGTTCATTAAAATAAGAATTTGGTTTTTGACCAATTGGAATAAACTAAAAATGAAGAAATTATAAGGTCATTTAATTTAAACAGAAATTCAAGTAAATTTAATTTGAATTTTATTAGTAGGTAGTAAATAAACACTAAGTACGTGGACACTGTCGCTACTGAATGGTATCTTACTTATGTGTTAGATAGATTCAAAGGTCTGACTTTACTGAGAATCTCCAATCTCAATAAATGGATCTCAATAAATGGAGACAATCACCATCACATCATAATGTCTCTACTGATCTGGCATAAGCCTTTCCTATAGATCGAATTGCTTAAGCAGTAGGTCATTACCCACCGCACCCAGTGAGGATTGGTGTCTGTTAACAGCTGTATGTGCTGAGACCATCTCCTCAGAATATTAGACAATATCAAATACATTTCTCTGATCTCGAGTACCTGAATCTCTGCGGCAATCTGAAACAATTAAGCTACAGCAATAAAATCTTCGTCGATATATATAATGCTCTATTCTACCGCTACTAAAACCTTTGTCATGTTGTGTCTTGATCATCATCTGCACACGGCATTAACGAAACAGTTTTCCTATCATGCTACTTAATTATTTTGTTGACAATGCCCAAAGAACATATAAAAGTCATATTAATAACAATATTAGGTAATGAGGTCACAAACTAGGTTCTAAAATATAATTGGGTTCATCCAGAATCCTACCACTAATTGCCAATTACCGAATGTTATCCAGATATGTTATGATATCATTCCATTTTTAAAGAACACTATTGACCTTGTATAATGAAACCAGATTGACAGCGTTAACGCTGCAATTTCGAATCAAGACGCAACTATGAGTGGGTGACTAGTGTCATAGCCTAAAAACGTCCAGTAGTTTAGTTACTAACATTAACTTGGCAGATAGGAAATATCATACCAACTTATGTTTATTATATGATTATACAAAAGTAATTAAAGTAATGTTTATTTAAAACTTATCATTGAAGGACTAAATCAAAAGACAAATGTTAATGCAAACAAAAGTCTATTAATATATTAAAAAAAAAAAAGCAATATTTTTATGTGTCTTCCCAACTACTAGCTTTTGGCAAGAGAGTCTACCGCCTATTGATTGTGCGTAGTTTCTACTATTACGGACATGGTTATTGATTCAGACGAAATTTGTAATTTCAATTGATATAAACTCATCCGACACGATAGACATCACGTCGTTTCGTTGTGTCCCAACATTAAATCCTAATAAAGAAACAAGTTTTAGGCTACATTAAGATCTTGTCGGGATATACAAGTACCCATTTAATTATTTAATGTCTCAGAGCATTTTGGCTACTGTTTCTTATTATGCTGTGTCTATTTATATATCATGATCCTGGATCCCGACTTTTCAGTTACGACATGTCATACCGTCTGGTGGGGTTATATTTTGTGATGATATTCTAAGTCGATTTATTTGGACTTTAAATGTCAGTAAGGGTGAAATTAATTTATAGGCAACGGACTATTGAAAGAATAAATATGGAGTGGCGGTTATCAGGTGAGTATTGTATTATTTGTGAAGTTAGATGCAAAATCATTGTAATAAGTGATACATTTCAAAGATATTGAAAGAGCGTTAAAAGTATTTTACCAGAAAAAAAAAAACATATTTCTCTCCAGACAAGAGAAGTTCATGTTATGAATGACTATTATGAAAATGTATATTTCACAAATCGAGTTTCATACGCGTATTAATATATTTCATTAGTGAGCTTTTGAACTCGTAATGTTTTCTTTCGATACTTGACTAGTGATTCATAGGTCAGTAAAAAGATCAAAAAAATAAAAATATCAGCTTTGGCCATACCAAACGCAAACTCACAGGCTGTGAATCAAACCAAAGCTGATTTTTTAATAATCCATTTTAAACTTTATAATAATATCTTGATACGAGCAGTTCAAAGTGGTTACCGACCAAGATGCGGAACTTGAACAAAGACTAAAAATGTATTATCTTGAGCGCCTCTGAGCCACGAATCAATACTCGGCCTATTCTTCTTATTCGATTCGATTTCATCCATGGAGAAGGCCCGTGCCCGAGCAATGAGTACATAGCTATCTATGTACTCATTAATCGGTTGTATTCATCTCGATTGTACTCATGAGTACATAGATGTCCTGCTGTGGGTACCGAAAATCTGGTGCAATATTACAGAAATCATGTGTTATTAATTTAAATTTACTTATCAGTTGAAAATTACGTCACATTTCTCATTCACGATATATTTGTCCCACAGAGGAGTCCAAGAATGCCGCGCGCATCTTCACGGAACAGTCATCGAATCTTCTCGAACGTCTTGAAGTCCTTGAGCGGCAACTACACGAGAGAATTGCTAGCCACATCCCTAGAGACCTAGACACCTTGGAACACCTCGTATTGCAACACAAAGACTGGGAAACCAGTCTACATTCACTGTCATCAGATGTAGAAGAAGTCCAGGCAACTTTCAGAGGTTAGTCGTAATAAATATATGTATAATATAAATTAGACAACATAATTCAAACTTATTTCGGATCTGATTTTAATTAAGTTTAATTAATTAACATTAAATTTTATAATCATTTAAAGAAATTTGATAACTCTTGATAACCAATTGTATGATGTTGCAGCTATCCATCTGACTGCTATTATATTTACAGTATATGTTTGTGTCACAGGTATTGCTCTCAAGACTCCGGCCATGAAGAAGAATCTAGATAAGGTTATGGGCAAGTGGAACGATATGCAGAGCAAGAGCCAACTCTTCGTCGAAAGGTAATTTGATAAAAATCTGACGGCGTTCAGTAAAACAAATTACGATATTGAATGACATCGTGTTCTAAAAATAATTTTTACCTAATTTATTTGTAATTAACACCTCTGATTTGACGTCGATATCTAAGAGGTCCCAGGTTATCCTGGTCAGTGTATAAAATTAATGTGTCTGCATTATCTTGAGCTTGTACTGTTTTAATTGTTATAGTCGCTACTTCTGATGCTTCAATAACTCGTGTGCAAGTTGAATCACGTATTGTTTTCCAATATTAATATAAAAAGCTACATAACAAACTGACGAGGCAATGGAAATGTATTTCAATGGCGGTCAACGGAATTGATTGTTATCGTTTATCTGTTAAGGTTGAAATTCGTGGAGATAGTGGTTAACAGCATGGAAGAGAACCACCAGACCATCTCAGAGTTCGAGATCAAACTTGCTCAGTTCAACGATCTTCCTAATGACGTAGAACTGTTGAAGGATGTAAGTAACCATTAACTATCTAGAATAAACTCCCAGTGGTTATCCACTGGGAGCAATCACGCACTTGTTTTTAGGAATTTATTGAATCTGTTTCCGATTTTGTTTGTTTTAAATGGAAATTAATTTACTAAGGTATAGCATTCATCGACAGCTTATTACGAGGGCGACACCGAACGCTTTTAGAACTGCTTACTTGAAAACAATATAAAAAAATAAGTTTTCTATCTTAAATTTTTAAAATTGACCTCTTTACATTTTGGAGGCAAATCGAAAATTGTTTGTGGTACATATTCGTGCAATGATTTCAGCATTATAATTATGCCATATTCAGTTAAAATAATTTTGAATGTAAGTATTAAAACATTAGGGAAATAATAAAAAAGACTTACACTCATTGTAAACCCGTAGATACATGAAGACCTACTCCGCATGCAAGTAGCTGTCAGCAAACAGCAAATACAAATAGACCAGATGAACGATGACGCTGAAAACTGCAGGCGTCTAGTGGAGAGCTCAAGAGCTGCGCTCCCGCATTCCTCGCTGCCCAGAGCTGGAAAACATATTGACCTCGAGAGATTGGACAAAGAAGTGTCGCAGCTGAATAATAGATGGAATAACGTTTGCAGTCAGCTGGCTGAAAGGTAAGCAAAGACCATTTTCGACTCTGAAATAGAATAATTCACTTCTCAAGAATATTTCATCTCTATTCATATAACCCAGACCTAGTTAAGGCAAGCCATTATGAATACAAAAGAAATATGCAAAATATGAAATTGTATCCTTAGTGGTAATACCTACCTGTTATCTGACAGTTTTTACAAAAATGAAATGGATTCTATCAGTTGATGCAGCTTGAAATTATTTATCGAGCGGCGTATTTTACCAATTTTTGAAAGTTAGTTAGTTAACATGTTTTTCCAGCACTGATGCCAAATAGTTCATAGTAAATGAATTAAATACGTGACATGAATAATGTTATATTTATATGTCATAAAAAAAGTACATAAACTGTCCTTTTATTTAAATTGTATACTTATTAACTCTTAAACAGATTACGCAGCTGCGAAGCAGCATACCAACTCCTGCGCAACTACAACGCGGGCTTGGAAAAAGAAGCCGAGTGGATCGACGATACATTCGGCAAGCTTCAAGCTCAACCACCTATAGAAGTCCGCCCCAAGGAACAATTCGAACCCACCAGGGTGAGATGATGAACTAAACAAGACTTTGATTGCAGGGGTTAACAACCATTTTTCAATGGAGTGCCGAAAACGAAGAACGATTGTTACTATTGCTCTTGCAGCTGCCTTCGTGGATTAAGTGCTCGTTTTTACTGTATTGAAATAGTGTCATAATGACCCAAAAGTATGGCAAAAATTAACAAACACTTTCAGATATATTCGTTTTACCAGCCGAAGTATCACATCGTCGAAAAAACTTGATCGATTTTTTTAATATTGCATGTTCAGGGTTTTTAAAATATGCATGACTGATTTATGATGTAACAACCCATAAAAATCCAACCTAACTACAGAATGGCGAGGTTTATAAAAGACTTAAAAAATGCATGCATTTTTTTTAATAACATAAATACAATAGTTACAGTGTTTTTAATACCAAGCATGTATGATAAATTTGACATTAAAAAAAAACACTCTTTTGTAATAAATAGGTCCAATATATAAAAATATATTTCAATAACTAAACATAGGAAAAGTTGATTAATCGTTTAAATAATATGGAAACATGTTTATTAATAACACAAATGAGAGCACAATACACCGGACTAATTTTCTCATATATTGGGTGTCTTGTGGAATTTACAGAATCTACTGACAAGTGTTGTGGAGAGGACACCAAAGATTGAGAAGGTTAACGTTGACGGTGGCAAGTTCATTAGGGAGGCTAAGGTAAATATCGGTATTCTAACTATATAACATTACGAACTCTTTTTTAGTCTGTGGCATTTTGAGAATTTTGAAGGTAAAAGAATAAGCACTTTTTTGTTCATGAACAACAAAAAGGTTGATTACTAATTTTGAACAGTATTCTTAATCTGTCTCGTACTGTGGTTAGGTACAAATACGATTTATTTTTCTTTCTTTCTATACAATAATTATTACTCATTCCGTACTTTATTGTGTTTCAAACATTAAAAAAACTGATAACTTTTTAAAGATTAACAATGTTGTTCAAGAATGAAGTTTCATTCAGACCTAAATTTTTAAGTCAAGACATGATTTTTTTCTCTTCTCAAAACGCCATGTATTAGAAAATTAGGCGGTCTTCAGTCAACTTTGTGTTTCAAAAGTCTGAAAGATTGTGAGGTATGAGTTATATAGTCCGTGGTTACAGTCCAGCGATTCTTCCCGCTTCTTGTTTCTATTGTAGTTATTTTTTTGGGTCTTTTTGTGGTTTCTTTGTTCAGGTTTTTTCTTTGCCAGCGTTCGAACACCGCATTATTTTTTCAAGTTTTGTGCTATTGCAATGCACGATCATTTAATGCTCCGCGTTTTTTACTAACGGAGTGACGCATAATCTAATTAATGATAACGCTTCGCTATATATTACTAATATTTAACAAAAAATTTTGAATGGGATGTCTGTTTGATTGAATATTTAGTTTTCTGTAAAAATAAACGGCACTTTATTACTGCCTACGTTGTGACTAAACAAATAATAAATTCAACGACGCCAGCGTTTCAGAAGCATACCTAATTTGAATTTCAAATCAATTTCTTGTCTATGAGTTCACAAGCTACAAAAGGAGGTTTAGCACAAGCAATGAGTTCATTGTTTCTTCGAATAAATGACTTTGCATGCCTTGTTTACCTATCAATGTTGCCATCATAACATCATTCAATTTCATTACAATTAGAGAATAAATTGTTTCTGAAACTTTTTTGCAACAAAAATAAATAAATTCTATTTTGCTTTGGGTGCGTAAAATGCACGAATCACAGGTGTTTATAATACACATGCCTCTAGTTTTACACGCTTCAAAATCTGTAATATTTACAGACACAATTTTAAGCATGATGTCTACCCTATTACCTGCAGACTGGACTACGAATTTAGTATCGTATTATTAATTACATAAAGGAATAATAAGAGATATTCATGTATTTATCTCAAATATTTCTGCATTGATATTATTTAAGATTGGACTGGATGAATATAAAGATGAATAAGAAAGGCTTGAAATGAAAATCATGAACAAGGAATATTCAAAATTAATATATTCTTTATTGATAGAATGTGAGAAGAATGAAAGGTCTTATTATGTTAACAAACAGATTGTTTTTTGAATAATAATATAAAAATAAGGAAAAAAAAACAATCTGTGTAGAAAACTAACCTAACCTAACCTAACGCGCTGAGAACCTAACGAATATAGATACACACATCGCGATGTCAGCGTTACGCTGAGTGGTTATGCGACGAGGTACACCCGTCATTGGATATGAAGCAACTAAAGAGGCAAGCGGACGTCGAGATGGCGGAACGACTGCGGAACAGGGGCCGGCAGGTGGATCCGGAACGTGTTCCTGTCGGAACAGAAGCTGTCGCGAGGGAGTTGGACGAGTTGAACGCGAACCATCAGAAATTATTGGACTTGCTTTACGAGAGACTGAGGAGGATAGCCGCTGCCAACCCTGGAGATATTGTTACATTGGTGAGTGGTTTTATACTATGTATAATAAATATTTAAGTGATACTCTGGTCGGTGGAGTAATTTCCATTGTTATGGAAATTACTCTATGCTCGGCTATGATCTTGACTCCTTAGCTTATTTACGACCTACGCTTATTTTTTTCACTTGTTCATTTTTTATTGGATCCAAAATCCCAATTGAATGTTTATCTATAGTAAATCTTTTGTACTATAAAATGTGTTAATCCAGACCATGATTTTATATGGAGTTTCATCAAAATCCATAGATTAGTTTTCGCGTAAGGGTTCAGGATTCCAGACTAGGAATCAAGATTCCTACTATAACAATGTCATGGGCAATATTTCGACACTTTTTTAGTTATATTATTAAGTTTCAATACCAATATTTTGTTAGGATTATTAGGACAATATTCGTATCAATTTTGAATTTTGATGTCGTACTGCTGGAATACTTTGTTATTTTACTAAGAAAGAACGGCTCGCCTCCTAATATCTAAACAGTATGGATTGGTCAGGGGCAGACGCAGATCTCAAAAAAGGTTGTCTCACTGAAAAAAGTCAAATACAAGTCGGGGTATGAACTGCTCAAAATAGTGCATCCATGCAAAGATGATTACCAATATATATGACCACCATAATCAAGATTAAATGGGTAATCTACCACAGTAGACCTTTAAAAAAATTACGTCACGATTCTATTTAGGTTTTTAGCATGCCCTTCGTGCCCTTCGACGGTGGATCCATACTGAAAAAAAAATATCAAATACAAGTCGGGGTATGAACTGCTCAAAATAGTGCATCCATGCAAAGATGATTACCAATATATATGACCACCATAATCAAGATTAAATGGGTAATCAACCACGGTAGACCTTAAAAAAATTACGTCACTACTCTATTAAGGTTTTAAGCATGCCCTTCATGCCCTTCGACGGTGGATATTAGTGAATGTTAAAACGATGATGAGAATAGCATGAAGATCTAACGTTTTAATATGCTTGCCGAAAAGGGGTCGATTTTTTTGTTTTCTGTTAAAAATATTAGAACATATTCGAATTTAGGAGGACGTAGGAGTTATAGTACTTAATTAAAAATAATGAATATTCTGCTTTTCCAATTTTTACTACTCACTTGAGATAATAATGTTGTTACTTATTTATACTGCAACTGCTTTTTTATTTAGATTGATGTAAATATACATAAAACTTTACTTATATATATAAATTTTGCGAAAGTAAATGTTTTTGATTATATACTATATCACGGTCTGAGCACATACCACTAAATGAAATAGATAAAAATAAACTTATCATACATCTTTTAGGTCGATATTGTAATTCGTTTTGTTTTCAAACTGCGTTAGTCTAGTTACGTGCAATTGATATGACATTGAACTTTATCGCAGTTTGTTTTTGGTTTATTTTAATTTGAAAATTGACGACCGTCGCCTTAAGACTAAACGGTCAAATAAATTGTCAGACTACAGTGGGATATTTATTTTCAGGGTCAATTTCGAACGTGCAATTTGCGATAGGATTGTGAACCTTGGGAGATTTAATAAAAAAGCTCAACAAAACACTATAATTACCGTGTGACTTTGATATATTGAGCGATTTGTTCTAAATTATTCTTTGGGATTAGTGCAATACAGTTTTTTTTTGTAATTGATATTGGTGATAAAGTTATTTCATTAAACAAGTTAATACTTAAGCTAAGTGTTTTATAAGCAAATTATGCTGATTGTACTTTTGCTTGTGGGTATATATAAAACACTAAAAGTTTATTCGAATCCTAATCGATAATATTATATTTTTAATGAATGCAATTGTTCATATTTTTCAGTGAAAACATCAGAGTTTACTGACAATTCATAGACAATAATAGTTGACAAAAATTATAAAACAAAATAAATTATTTTAGTATAGAAAAAAAAACAAAAATGTTCACGTCTAATAATTTTAATTGGCGTAGTTTTCATGAAATACAACACTATAAGCTCATTCAAAAATTGTTTTAATAAAATCACGACCATTGTTAGCCGTCAGCCATACTCTTGACACTTTTATCGTCTAATTCACGCACTATGATGTCACCCAGTTATGTCATGAATAGTTACAATCCTTGCCAGGGGCCACCGGTTATGGAAATAAATTCTTCAAAGGAAAACTAGTAGATATATAGATCGTTGTTTTCATGTATATCGCGTTAAACTTGACATATCCAATTATAAGTTTTGCGATACAACTGAAAAGGGTTTGTTTTTTATAATATCTAAGTAAATATTGTTTTCTGATTTTGTGAAACCTTGGCTACAATTCTTGCGTATGATTAAAGTGTTAAAAATTATTAAGAAGTGTCCCTTGTTTTATCAAAAAAAACGTGTACCTGTAGACAATTTTTTTGTATTGCACTTTTATATCGTATTCGGGCCATTGCAACTTTCTGTTACAGTAAACTAGATCGAAGTGCATAAATTATTTTTGTAGCAAACTGTTTTAATTTTTTCTTTCCTTATATTTTTTTTACAAAATAATAATTCATGAATTATAGTTTTTTTTATATAAAAATATCAAGGTCGAACTAGATAAATAAAATGTCCTCCTGAAGAGAAAAATATTCAATATTTTATCTAAGATTATATGTTAATATACAGGACCCTAATCTAATATTTCTAAGACAACACGTATTAGATAAACAAGACAGATTTTAGTTTCCAATTACTTCGCTGTTTATTTTAGTATCTGCCTACATCTTTCGACGTATAAGGTTTGTAAACGCGTGGGTTAAGGTTTTAAACGTACATGGAATAGTGCAGGTTTTGTAATCAACTAATTACATTGATTTGGCTGACATGAATAGGATTCTTTTATACCTATTCTTTGAGATTGATTTTATACTTTAAGTCTAGCATCCCCACTTCAACGAATAATTTAAAAAAATTTTTTTTATTATTATTACGTTTTAAATGTTAATATTTAAATTCGAGACCTAATACAGCCATCGCTAACGGTAATTCTTTAAGAAAATTCCGCTTAAGTCTTATTTCTTCCAAACAAGTTGGTCGGTTTTTTAAGGAATTATTTGTTTCTCATAATAATATCTCACGAGCAACAACATAATCGTGCTTGCTAGATAATGTGTCTTTTTGCTGCTTGTATGAGCTATGTACTCAATTTGTTTGTGCACGGTGTAGGTGGTTATTTTAGTCATTTGTGCACATTAATGTAATGTAGCTATTCTGGGTTATGTTTTTTACAACATACTAATGACCTTAAGCGTTTCAAAACAATCTACGATTCGTTTCCTTCAACAGAAGTAAGAAAATAGTTAAAATATGTCAGTCAACTCTGCTTTTAGGTTTTTCTCTATTTATGTCAGAGTATTGATTTGGTCTTGGACAATAATTTTACGTATCATCTGAAGCGTGGAAATTTGTGATTTCGTCTCAGAGCAACTAACTTTTTTATATAAAGAGTCTAGACTTTATTTTACCTGACACTTACAATAATTGATTTTATGATTTAATATACATAGGTAAAGCTAAAAAACATGATACATAATATTATTTTATGTGGCTATACGAATCAGATAAGACTATAGAGTGTTTATTTCATCATTCGAACAGACTATCTAGTCTAGTTGGGCTTACTATTGATTTGGAGGAAATGGAGAAAATATATACCACAATCTGTGGAATAAAAATTTATTCCTATTTTGTAGTTACTCATAATAATACTCCTTGCTACTTCATTATGCAATTTAAAAAACTAAATCTCTAAATTATAGAGTTAAAATCTTTTTTGGCATTCTATTAAACTGCTGGCTTTGAATATCTAGGTATATATTTTTTGGCAAATTTGGGACGTGCTAAGCATCCTAGCGAAACCGGGTCATCGACACTGAGACTGACAAAAAAGTCTAATGAATGAATCGACAGTAACATTATAAGTGATCACCTGCAGTATATTGAAGTATTTGTTTAATAAAATGTTCATTTTTCGAAATACTTTATCTACAAATGTGGTTTTTAAGAGTTTTGTACTCACGTTTGTTTATTATCTACGTTAAAATTTAATGTCTATTAGCTAACGTATCTCACATTTCACGTTTTTACCACCACCATATACTTTTCTGATACTTCTCTCGCTTCTTCCATAGGCATCATGTGCGAACCCTGCTTTTGGATACTTTTGATCTGTCCTTTTTTAGTACGTTTGCGATTGGTCGTAATACGTTCGACTAGGTCTTCCCTTTCCAGTATATTCTTTTTAAACTAACTATCTGCTGCATATTTGGATTTTTTTCAATCATGTCTAGTCCGTCCCACTGCGGAAAACTTTTCGAAGGGTATTGACTCAATTTTTTATACTATTCTATATCACTCCTTTCTGAGTTATAAAAGCATAAAATGGGGCATATTTCTTGACTGTTTTGATTAAAAATGAATTGCGATTACCGTTTAAAAACCTACAAAAAACCTCCGCCCGACTTCAACAGGTTCTTGAATAAATAAACAGCTTTTTAAATAAGTATTATTTCTTACTTTTTTAAAGACTGAAATCTGTTCTATAAAAAATAAAACTCATTTTTAATGGTACTAATGATTTAATTTTATTATTAGGTAGTTGTTTTGTATTGTTATGTAACTCAATTTTGGACAATGGCTACCAACCCAACTACTGCTTATTGTGCTTGTGTTAATTTTATTTGATTACCGACTTAAAAATTGGCGTCGTAAACTTAGACAGGAACTAATAAAGCTCTTCAAATATAGATAAATTAATGACTGGAGCGTGAAGTGTAGTTTATAGTGCTAGTTATTATCAGGTGAAATAGGTAGTCGTATACTAGCTGATTTCCCGCGACTTTGGTTACGTAAACTATGAAGCTCGCGTATAATATAGTTTAGCGTAGGTGAAAGAATTTATAAGTCCAGTAATTTCGAAGCGATTATTCACTGCAAAAAAAACTTAGCTGTTTATAATATTAGTATTAATTTAT